ACATAATAATCCACTGCAGCTAACAAGGAAGCTTTGCCTTCAACCTTCCCACGCTCATCAGCAGTGGCAAGACTCCTTTTGTCTTCTATACGAGGAAACAACGTACGTAGAGTTGATATCCTAGCTTCACCACCATACACCTGAACAGAGCAATTTAGTAAACCTAAGCTAAAAAGCCTAAACTTCAAGTTCTCAAATAGAGAGGAAAAGGAACAAAGTTCAAAGGAGAACCACCATTCACTGATTCATGTCACAAACCTTGTGGGAAGCCAGGTAAAGGCGAGTGTTATTGGTGAAGCCTAAAGCTGCGAGCAACAACCCAATCTCTTCCGGCGTCAATGGGCATCGTCCTTGATTTCTTAATTCTTCATCAGAGAACTGAGTTTTCATAACTCTTCCTTGCCAAATGACTTGACGATATTTTGCAAGAGCTAATTTTTCAGCTCTACCCCCACCAAAATCACAAGCTGAATGTGCTGCCATATCCTGAGATAATTATTGGAGGAAGCCAATTGTTACCAAAACCCCTCAGAAACAATTGACCATCAAGCAGAAATGTAATATCCATTGTACATAATATGGCATATTGTGAGCTCTTCCATCACAACACTTCTTCACAACAAACATAAACTTGTCCTTTATTATTGGTGAGGTGAGGAAGGGAAGGAAGAAGGAGGAAGGAGGGAGGAGGGATGGTTGACGGTGATACCATTAGAAGATTAACGAGTCCCACAAAGGCTGCAACATCTACTGTAGGTATTTTCAAATAATTTAAGCATCCTTAGTAAAGATTTTATCATCAAAACTTATCCTAACAGTTGACAATGTTTAAACTATCCATCACTGCAGACAACTATAAAGTTAAACTAGTGATCATGTACTAAAATGTAGACCTTACTTAAACATGGTTTATAACATAAAAGCCAGGAATAACTATAAAGTTAATGTAGACAACTCTGAGCAGTATTTTGGTGGCTAGGTGGTTAAAAACAAAGAAACAGGCATGGATTTTCCAGGTTTGTCCAGGTTGGCCAATTTACTTTGAGAGATAAAAGGCTGAAGAACACGGTCAAAATCTTTTGAGCAAAATGAGTTTGGAAACTGTCCAAACCCCACCTAAAAGAGCAAGAGCATAGTATTAGTCATCAAAATTTACTCTAGTGAAAAGATAGAATAGAGAGCTCGTAAAAACTAAAATCTATAATGAATAGACATGGGGTTCAGAAGGGATTTTTTAATAAAAATGAGTTGCCAGATGGTTGTGGGTCTAATTATGAAAAATATTAGTCCTTTGGTTCATACTTTTTCCCTCTAATCTTAATAGTTTTTCTTATCCATGAAATAGAATTACATTCACAAAGCTACAAAAAGCAAATCATAACACAAGATAGTGAGAAGGAAAAAACTAGGAGAGAATCTCACTTTATCAAACCGAAGATGCAGCACAACATACTTTTCCCTCTGTCCAGAAAATTCAACAGATGAGCGCAATCGGCTGACAAGGGTGTCACCCAATTCCCTAATATGTGGAACAAATAGTAATGCTTCAAAGTTGACCTTGCAACGAAGCTGTTGAATGGTTTTAGGCAAGTTGTCAAAAGCCAAACGGTGTGAGAAAGGGGAAATTGCAGCAATTCCATACCTAGTATAGTTCAAAAGATATTAATCCAAGAGTCCACTAACATTAACGTAAGAATGGAAGATTACCAGAGAAAAACTAAATGAAACAAATGAAAGAACACAAGTTTCAGACGGAGGGTAAAAGAAAGCATAAGGCATGTAGCATTAAAGAGAAGAGCAAAGGTTACTTTCAAGCAGTTGTACTATGTATGTCATTTGTCAGTAACCGCTTAGCATGCTTTGTTTGAGCATTTCAGGCTATAATGATTCAATTTATTTACTCAAACAATGTGCATCAAATGTTTGGAGTATATAAGGATGTGGCAAAGAGTGACTTACCTATGCAATATAGGTAATACATTTTCCAAATACCAGTCAGCTGATGCATGGACAGGTGCAGTCTTAATTCGGGTTTCTCGTATACCTGTACCATAATACTCCCTAGTGCTCCAAGAGTATTCAACAGGCAACTCAGTAACTATGGAAATTTCATCCCTCAGACTACTGATAAAGTGATCCAAATCAAATACTTCAGAAAATGAACTGCACAAACATATCGCACTGTAAGTCAATATTATGGCCTTTAAAAACCGTAAATTAAAGAAATCGATCTTCAGATAAGGCACCTTGAATCTTGCCATACTGTATTGACTTCCAAGTGTGGGATTACAAGAGTTGCATTCAAAATTTTAGCAACAGCAACGGCATCACAGATCTGAACAAGGTTAACAGATCTGTTATAACAAAAAAAACAAACAAATCATATAATGAATGCACATACACCAGTAGAAACTAGCAAGTCAGGAACATAAATTTACCCCCATTCTCTGCTGGTTTAATCCTCCATCAAGAAACACTTGTATATAGCCCTGCGACTTCTCAGGCAAGGCTGCCAATCAAAAATTGGGTTAATTACAATTATGTTCCACCCTGTGTAACAAGGACACACTTGTTTCTAGTACTTACGAGTACTTTTGGTATCATGACACAATTTCCATCCTTGGTGGGGCAAAGGAGACCACAACTCAAGCTGCTGTCGAAAGGGCTGAAACAATGCAGCAACATAATAAAGACCAGCAAGTACTCAACTATCACTTATGAAAATTTGTCTACAATAAGATAAAATCACAATGATTAATGGCTAATAAGCACATACTCACAGTTTGCCATTGTAGTGCCCCCTGCAAGAGACGCATATGTCTTGGTTTCGGCGCGTTCCATTCCTACAATTTGGAAGCCAATGGTATAATCGTAATCTATCACATGAAATGCTTATCAAACCATTGAACACCCAAATTATAATAAGTAAACAATCTTTGCTACGTCCAGCAATAGCTGAATAGCTTCAACTTCAACAAATATCCAAGATATATGCCTAACATATAAATTAATTTCCCTAAAAACTATGATAATAATCATCTTCAAGCAAATCAAATAAACTCTAAAGTAAAATTCCTCTCTAGTATTTTTTTTTTTAGGAATCCTCTCTAGTATTTAAAAACTTCTAAACGCACAGTATTAATCAATTTCAGATTCGACCCACAAAAGTCAAGATAGAATCTTTTTCCACTTAACAGTATGAACCCAGCACCAATTTGATGTACCCACCAAAAATTAGCAAATACCCAGAAAAATCAACAGTAAAATTCAGCAATAATCAACATCAATAAGTGAATAAATGTCATAAATTTCAATCAATTTTTTTTCAAGGACATGTTGATCAGAGAAAAACTTACAGAGAAAAGAGAAGGATAAGAGCGAGCGAGGGGAGAGAAAAGATGAGGGAAGAAAATGGGAAGGAGTAGCACAAACAAGGAGATCAATGTCGGTGATTTCTGGGAGTAATAGCTCCGATGATGTTGTGACACCTTCATCATCATCAGAAAATTCAACAATACCTTTTTTTTTTCTCTGTGAGTTAATTTGATTTTTGAAGACTTGTTTATGTAATTGATGGATCAATCATGTCGGTAATTGCAGTTAAGTTCGTCCCACAAAAATGGAGGACGAAGAGAGGAAGAGATGGTAGTGGGATCTTGATACTTTGGGAGTGAGTGAGTCTAAATTTTAATTGAATTTTGCATTAAGCATTTAAAGATGGATTTCCTTAGATGAGCGTGTAAATTTATTTAAAACATCTTAATTAATTATGGAGTAATTATTTGGTTGACATAAAAATACATGAACAAAAGGACTTAACAGAAATTGGCCAAATTGCAAAATATGTTAATTGTTCAATTGAGAAAATTTGGTGAAATGAGAAGAGTGAAAGTTCTTGGGAATGGGAGGTTTCACAAAATGTAAGAATTTGACATTTGGTTTATTTAGTGTCAGATTCTCTACAGTAAGTAAAAATTTCCTTGGATACTTAATCCCCCATTGCAATTACTCTATCAGTAAATTCCATGAAGTGGATTATAAATTTAATTACCATAAATTAGAAATGACCACATAATTTAGAAAGCATAATGAGAGTAATCTTAAATTTGACTAATTTTTAAACATATAGTAAAAATAATTGCAAGTATGAATAATTTCACTATTTCATATAAATTTAAGTTGAGACAGGAGTTTGTATTCAAATTAATGACGTTATAAAATTGCATTTCTTTTTCTTCCCTCTACCCCTCACCACTAAGGCACCAATCCACCACATCAATCTATGTTGTTGGTGATTAACGTGAAAGAGAAAGGTCAAAGGAAGGAGTGGAGATGGTGACATTGCGCAAGGGTTAAAAAGACAATGATGAAAACAAGATTGACCATATGGTATCAATCTTGAGATTTGTATCTTACCAATCAATAACACATAATACTAAACAGACATCAGGAATGACACATGTCATTTCCTGGTGTTGTTATTTTCCCTCCAATTTTTTTTTTTTTTTACTTTTTTTTTGTTTATTTGATCAAATCGTTAAAGAATATTTAAAATATTATAATAATTTTTCCTTCCCATTTATCCATTACATATTTACCATAAATATTGAACTAAAATATAATTTCAAATTCTAAGTTTTTTTATTTAAAATATATTTTTCTTTTGGTAAATTATTGCTCTATAGGATTGAATTAACGATTCATTACAAATTTTTGTAAAATCCGTGCGTGGCACGGGATTTTAGCTAGTATATCTCAAGTTCGAAGTTGGTTTGTAATAGTTAAAGTTAAGATAATTTTCGATAATTCTCAAGATTATCTTCTCAAATTAGTCCTAGGTGACTTATGACCTTATTTACCAACAATCATAAAATCATACATTTGACTTCTGATTTATCCACCTTATGAGAATGAGAGATAACTCAGGTGGTTAGAGCTTCTCTCACAGTCCTAGGAGATCCTAGAATCAATTTTGGACAAGGATCACGCCTACCAAGTAATGAATGTGATACCATCGTTAAAAGTTCTCATTGGTATAATATATGGAAGATTAACCTAATCCTTAAGAAATACAGCCAAATCCTGTATCTTTGCACAAAGATCAAGTTTTCCAAATTATACAAAAATCCCTCATATCAGCAACCCAACAAACGAAAAGTATCGTTGTGCATACTTGGCAGCCTTGATTACAGGAATTCAAAATCCCCATCTCCTATGAATTAAAATGTTGCTCCCGACAACTCAGCTAACATTTGCACAAGTGCAATTTCAGATAAGAAGCTTAGTTGATGGTTCTGCTGCTTCCTCTGCATCTGCGAGAGTGACAAAGGAAGTAAGAAGTCAAATAAGAAACAAAAAAGCAAAATCTTTAAAATATAGCTCCCATCCAAGCAAACAATTCTATAATTCCATCATGAAATAGATGTGCGAAGATACAATTACTCTCTTTGACCTTATGAGATAAAATTCCATTCAAGATTCTTCTATATCCACAAAGATAAGACAGCCATCCCGTGTACCAGGTCTCTATTACTTTCTATCCCTTTTCTTTTCTCATCTATAATCTCTCAAAGGACTCCAACCAGCAAGTTTCCTCTCAATGACTATCCTCTGCAACCTACAATCTATTCAAACATCTGTCAAAAGCTTTTTTTCCTTCCCCTTTTTCCATAATACTATGTTACCACCGCCAAAATTATTAACACCATCAGTCTGCATCTTTACTTGATGGACTATCTTTCCCACCAGTTACTATATCTTATGTTTCCCCCACTTCCCCACATCTATTGGGGCTCAAAATTATCTGGATTCAGAGCTCCAAAGTCTAGATATTGTACGTTACACCTAAATATATAATTAATCCTGACAATTAGTCAACTGTTCTTAAGAATCAACAAATGCTTTGACCAACCACAAAAACATAATTCAGCACCAAGCACTCAAACAAAGTGGCCTTTCTTGTAAATGGAAATGTGGTTCATTAAACAATATGCAGGGGAGAAGAATGACTAGAAGAAAATGGTTACAGCCACCAGCTCCTCTCCCACAAGATAACCTATTTTTGACAGATAAGCTCCCCACAAAAGCAACATAACAAGAAGGGCTTGAAGGGAATCTATCACCAACATTATGTAGAAAATAGTTCAAGGACAAATTACTTCTGGATTTTGGCTTAAATTAGTTCAACAATATAACCCACATTTTAAGAGTTTTAGTGAACATTAAACAATAGATGCCAAAAGTAATACCTGTATCAATAAACTCAGTCAAGGAGAAATCTCGTAAACCTATACCTTTTGCTATCCTCAGAAAATAATACAGAAATTCTCAAATTATGGATCATATAAATCATATATGTCAAAACAAATATAAGCCATTTTGCAAAGAAGAGAAAAAATCGTTGAAATAGCATAATAAAGCTAAAAAGAGATGCATCACTACTCTAGTTGTATCATAAGGTTTCCTCCAGTGGCTCTCTACGGAGGGTTAATTTCATGCAGCCTAGAGTAGATATAATCCAGAAGTGTGAGGCTGAGAGTTTCCCTAAATCTAAATTTTTTCTCTTATAGTTGTAATGCCAGAACGTAATGCATGATCTCATCAAACCACCTAAATCCTAGTTTGGCTCCATTCTGCTTGAAAGCTATCTTAGCCATTCATTTTTTTAATCCAATGGATGTCTAAGGAGTTCGCTTGGGTTTAAGCAAAAGTATAGCCTCTTTATACACATGTGTTGAGCTGCAAATCATTACGCTTAGTTGATATGTAATGATAGATTACGCTCCTCTTATCTCCAACAGATACCCTCCTTTCTACATTATGTTAGTGACATTTGTCAATTGTGCTTCATTAATCAATACTTGATGTGGAGATTGATGAGGTAGCACATAGATTCGGTTTCTTTACACATCCAAGTTGTTAAGGAGTATCTTTCTTTCTGTTTTTCTTCACCTTAAACACAAAAACCCCAAAATTTCACACGGAAAACCCTAGAAATCCTTTGAGGCCTACTTACATGCCCCAATATAGCGCCAATCATAGAGCTCAAGACCACAATTATTTTGTTCAACATCACATAATAACTCCGCCCTTAAACCAGCCACATCTTTACTCATTAGTTTTCCCAGTAAATCATTTAATCATCAATCCTTCGCCGTGCCACTTCCTCTAATAAACACAATCATGATCACGCACATTCCCAATCTCAAAATTCAATCAACACATAACTGGATTGATATCCAATAAGGCAATAACTAAACCTAGACAAGATCATAAAATGTCACGCAATCAATTACGCGAAAGACTCCATCTTTACATCACACCCATTTCAATTTACAAATATTCTTCAAAATCAGTATATACCCTTTTAAATCCAAACAAAACCCAACATCAAAAATTCACATTCTCGTCAATTTACCAAATAAACAAACAATCCAAGATAGCAATGATCAAAACACCCAGAAAATTAAAACAAGAGAGATTAAAAATAGAGTAAAAATACCAGAAGGGACGGCGACAACTTCACCATAGATGGCTTTAAGGCGAGAAAGAGGAACAATGGCGGTTTCAGGGGAAGAAGCATCAGCGTAAAGCTTCTGTTTCCAATCCCAAATTGATTTTTTCATAGCTTTGTTGGAGTTTGCAATAGCTTGTTTCTCGGATTCTAGGGCTTCAATTAAGTTTTCTTGGCTCATAGACCTGACCCCAAGAGCTGTGAAAGAACCCAGTAAACAAATGTTGACGAAAGTATTGCTGTTTATCAATCTGTTGACGATGTTCATTGCTCTACTTGCTAATTCCATCTCTCTCTTATCTCACACTTGAAAGTTGAAACGATGATTAGCTTCTTATTATTGCAGTGGAAGTTTGTAATACAGAGGAGATACGAGCATTTTTTCTTTTTCTTTTTCTTTTTTTTTTAGGAAGAAGAATAAAGATGGCACCCGGCCCGGCCGCTCGAAGCCCAGTACGGCCTAGTACGAAAAAATCATGACACGGCATGGGCACAAAAAAGCACGGCACGGTACTGTGTGTGTGCCTTGGGCCAGGGTTGGGCTGCCTTTATTTGGGAGAAGCACGATAAGGTACAGCACGACAAAGCATGCTAAAATCAATGCAATTTTGATTAGGCATGTAAGCCCGGCACGATGGCATGTAGGTCTGGGCTGTGCATGGGCCAACTTTTTGAAAACTTCGGCCCGGCATGACACGTCACGAAACTCGTGGGTCGAGTCATGGGCTGGGCCTAACTAATCCCAAAGCACGTGGGTCTGGCACGAGGCACGACCCGGCATGGCCTAAAGCCATCTTTAGAGAAGAGTCATACTTCGTAAGAAATCCTTATTCCTCGTAATCACTTTCTATTTTAGACAACCAAGCAAGTTTGGTGGAGTTGGTAGGGAACTCACCTTGTGAATTCACGAGTTCAAACCCTAACTTACTATTTTAGACTAGTGTTTATGTTATACTCATTTTGTTTTATTCTATTTATGCATGCTCTTTTAATCATAATGCACCTTCAACCTCACAACAAATACACCTTTCCATACCCGATCTTCTACTTTATTCAATTTTTTCTTACACCAAATCACCTTTTACATTTTCTTTCTAATTCCGTACTTTATCTTGCACACACTCAAATTTTTGTTTATCTGTATATAGTAAGTGGGTAGAACATAAAAAAAATAGATGTGGTAGTTCGAAACTACCTAGAACTCCATGGATCAAAGTGTTGCATTGATGGAGGCAGTGCTCTTGAAGGGGGCAATATCCTGTTTTTATTGAATTGGTGCAAGAGTTGCAAGCTAATACTAGTATATGTAGGTTACACAATTACATGATTTTATTCACGGGTGCAAAGTTCTTGATTTAACACATTAACAAGATGCAAAGCGAACAAATTGGACAGTTAAACTAATTCATTTAGTTCTATAATATTCACGGAGTACCCTTGTGTTTTCAATGATTCAAATGGTAATCCTAACGTTTTCAAAAATATTGATAAATACCCTTAATGCCTCTTGGCATCAAGTTTTCGTTAGTGCTCATATAGTCATATCCCATTGTCTCTACCTTTGCTTCATTCTTGAAGAGGGCGTAAAACTTTACATATATATTGCAAATCAAACATTTTCATGTTGTTCACGACGGTCTAGAGAAGTTTTCATTAGATGGTTACTCTTTTCATGTGGGGCATTAAGAGAGAGAAGGCAAGATAATTAATCTTTTTATAAAAAAAAGGAAAAATTGCTTTAAATAATACGACATTTAGCCCGTCCGCTAAAAACAAGTCCACCTTTTGATTATCCCAGAATAATACTACCTTTGGGGGATGTCCGCTTTAAACAGGTTATTTTACCTACAACCTAAGTAACCGGTTATTTTTTTTTTCTTTTTAATAAATTCATTTAACAATGTAATTAATCTTAATAACAACTTTAATTATGATTTTATTAACAATTAAATCAAAAAAACGAAAAAAAAAAAAAAAATCAACCCCCTCCTCCTTCCCCCTGACCTCCTCCTGCCCCTGCCACCCATCACCCTCCTCCCTTACCACCGCTCCCCCACCACAACATTCTTATCCTACACACAGCCACCCGCACAGCAGTTACCCCTGCTTTTCTCACCCTTGTCATCTACGCAACACACCGAAATAGAGCCACTAGCAGCCCCTGCGAGGCTGCGACCTGCACCTTCCCTCCACCAACCCGCACAACAATCCACAGCATCTCCAATAGCCCCACCTGCCCTCACCATCAGCCGCCTCTCCCACTCAACAAATCGCACAACCAAAACAGAGCTCTGGCGAGCAGAGCCTAACCGCAACCATCAACGGTCGTCGCAGCACCACTAATTAGCAACAAGTTCTTCGGAGCCTCGCAATTCACCCACAAAACCCCCATTTTAGCTAAATCAATTATCATCCCACCGTCTTGCTTTGATGGGGCTTGAGATTGCTTCATCAATCCATATAAAACTTCAGCGACCTCAATTTCAATGGCGTCTTGTGTCGACGACGACAATTTCGAAGACGATTTTGGTGGCCATTGTTGTTTCGGTCCATTAGCCGCCTTCTACCCCGGTATAGAACATAGTCAAATCCACAAAAACACATACAAACATCACTGGAGAAGAAGGGGATGAATTTGGGTTGGCTGGGGTTGGGATGCCGGTAGTGGCAGTGGTGGTGGTGGGGCTGGTTTACGGTTTAGGATGGGTTTATTTTTTTTTTTTAATTTTCTTTTTTTTTTTTTTATCCAATGTAACAATAATTTTAAAAAGTTAAAAACATTAAACAAACAAATATATATATATATATATATATATATATTCAGACCAATAAAATGATGACACGTGTCCATATAACCTATTAATCAGGTTATCAACAGGTTACAACCTGTTAAAGCGGACACCCCCCAAAGGTGGTATTATCCTGGGATAATCAAAAGATGGACTTGTTTTTAGCGGACGGGCCAAAGATCGTATTATTTAAAGCAATTTTTCCTAAAAAAGAAAACTAACAAATTATCAATTTAAGAGAGGTAAATAGTATGAGAGTAAATTCAAGTTTATAACATTTAAACAAAGGAAGTTTATCAAGGGGTAAAATGGTACAATTATGTGCATTGAGGGTTATATGTGTAATTTAACTAGACAATCTAACTAATGACGTTAACTTTCCCTTCGATGTTAACAATGAGAAACCAGAAATCCACCTAGCTTTATCATCTCTCTTCATTGGCCCATCCACCGACGGCGACAAGTCATTTGAGTCGTCACACGGAGGAGCAGGTGGAAAGTTGATGGAGAAATCATCACTTGAAGTCTCGAAGTAGCAAACAACAACTTAATGGAGAAATTATCACTCAAAGTCTTGAAATAGCAGGCGGCGAGTCATCACTTGAAGAGCATCAATGGAGGGATTGAAGCTCACAAGTAGCTTTAATCGAGGAGGACGGTAAAACCCTACCCTTTATGGTTAACCATGCTCTTGATTTCTCCATTTTTCTTAGGGTTTTAGTTTAATTTGGCGGCGAAGCTGTCGGAATCCGGTGGAGAAATGGTGGTTGTCCATTGAAGCTAACTTATTCCTCCATTGAAGCTCACGATTGATTGAGCTTAGAGGTACTGTTCTAATTTCTGCTGCACCTCCTTGCTTCAATGGAGAAAGCTCTCTAACACCGTCAATTTTCGTCTGTCATTGCCAGTTGTCCAAGTGGGTTGGAAAATATTTTTTTTTTGTACAGCGCGGAAACTAAGGCTTTTTATTTACAAAAATGTCATTTGATAAACATCTCACGTTTATCAATGTGATAAACCTGGCTTCCTCATAATATGATCCATACGACCTTTGGCCAAGAGCGGGCAAAAATTTATAGTGCGTCAATTCAATAAGTCTTGCCTGCACCCTGGTGTAGCTAGGATAGCTGCTGCACCACGCCCTGTAATATGAACATTTAGTAAAAAAAAAAAAAATGAACACGTAAAAAAAATGATGTTTAGTAATAAAAAAATGAACATTTAGTATTAAAAAGTAAACAAATTTAAAAAAAATGATTATTTAGTATATTAAAAGTGAACATGATTCTCTTATAATCATAAAATTGATGGACCACGACCTTAAAAATGAACATTTAGTTAAAAAAAATTTTTGAACACATAAAAATAAAATGACCATTTAGTAATAAAAAAAATGAATATTTAGGAATAAAAAATGAACATGTAAAAAAAATGAACATTTATTATAGTAAAAATGAACATTTATCATACAATCATAGAATAGATGAACCATGCCTAGTAAAATGAACATTTCATAAAAATTATGTGAATACATTATACTATAAATGAACATTTAGACAAAAATAAACACATAAACAAATGAACACTTTTTAAAAAAATTATGAATGTTTAGTATATTAAAAATAAACATGATTTTCATTTATTCATATAGGTTCAATTTCATTGTATATAATAATTAACAAAAAATAAAGATTAAATATATCGTGAAATTATGTTCATTTTTTATATACTAATGTTTATTTTTAGTGTACTAAATGTTCATTTTGTACAAAATGTTCAATTTTAAAGTACTTGAAGTTCATATTTTTTTTATTTACAGAACACAAATTTGATTGTAATTATTTTAACTCTAAAAATTTGAATATCCACCTTGAATCTAATCTTGGTTCATTATAGAGACAAGAATTATCGATCTGTAACGTAATAGATTAGGAATCATAAACGCAAAATTGATAAAAATCAACAATTTTACAACATTCACATAATAAAAAAATAAAAAATAAAAAAAACCAACTCAAAATTACATCAAGTTTCACGATCGTGACGATGATGATGATGGAGAATGCTACAATGGTGACGAATTGGAGAATATCCGAATTAGAAGGACAAAGAAGTATAAAGATTAAAGGAAAGTGAGGTAAGAAAGAAAATTAATTTATATAAAAAGGGGGGAAAAAGAGGAAAGATAAAATTTCAAATTGAGAAGAAAATAGAGAAGAGAGAAGATTTATAGAGGTAAGAAAGAAGAAGATAGAGAGTTAAAATATAAAAAAGAGGAAAAAAAAAGTACATTCATTTTTTAATTACTATATGTTCATGTATGAGTGCAATGGTGCAGCTAGCTTAGCTACACAAGTGTGTAGCTAAGAATTTGCGGCGTCAATTGTCATGCAATCACCGATCCCACAGGTTTTATTTATTTTTTGTCCTGTTATTAGCTTCACGTGCATTTGTGAAAAGACTATGTGTAATAAATTAGAAATTTATAAAGGGCAACCAATGAGAATGCATGGGTTCAAGTCAACAAGTGGGCATAAGGATTGGGCATGAATGACTTGGAAAGAGAGGTAGTAATTAAAAATTGATGTCCACAATTAGCTTGGCCAACCAATGGCTTCACTCTTAGGTCTCACATCTCATTGCGACACTTTCAAACTCTCTTTTTTGGTTAATGGTGTTTATAAGGGCAAACTTTGGATCACTAAGCTGATTTTCCATGATAAATATTAGGCATAAATTGTAACAAAATTGCGATAAAGCCCACAAGATCAGGTTTCATGCGTAGCCAATGAACACTTTTGTTTTGTTTTATCCACTGCGTAACATATCGTACCACCACAGGCCGTTTCACAATGTCTCCAGCTCATACCTAGTGCTTCATGCCATATCCCCAAACTCTGAGCTCCACAGCTCACCACTTCATGCCTTATGTTAGACCGTGATTAAATGATGGTTCATATCATTATACATCAACCAATCAATTCTTAAAGAAAAAGAGGTTAAATGGCATCTCAATTGAACAACAATCCAGCATTTTTTGGCAAATTGTGTCAATACG